CATAGTTTGCGACCGCACAGTGTTCTGCCCTTTTAGGGTCTTTGTCAACTGGCAACGCTCTTAGCCCATACTTCCGACAGGCTTTGCTGAGTCTGCAAGTTCCAGAAAAAATTTCGACCACCAAGCCAACATGTTTCTGTTGATTGCAGTCTGATAAATTCGGCAAAACTTCAGGGCTCAAAACGGCCTCTGCACATGCATCGACAAAACTGGCGCCTGATGTCGTCTCCAAACCACCACTGCAAGGCGCTGCTGTGGTGGTCTCGATCTCTGGTCACGAAGTCCCATTGGCATGGCAGGCTGCTGCGCCATGTTTTGGACGCAAACACTTCATGCATGTGTGGAATCCAAACTTGCACCTGCCATTTTTGGTGGGATTGCTGCAACCTTTGCTCAAATTGAAATGCCAGCACATTGGTTTTCCTTCCGTGGTTCTGAGTTTCAGGCCTTTGAGTTCTTCAGGAACTTGAGCTGGTTCTTTGTCTCCGGTGCGTGGCCTCTTCAACGGTTGCGGCTTGTTTCCACCTCCATGGTCAGCTTCTCTTTTGTTGCCTTTTGGGTGTCCACCATTGACTCCAGGGGCAACGCGAGGCAATGCAATCAAGTGCACATTAACTCTCGGATCGTGCATCAAACGCAGAAAAACAGCATCCAAAGGTGGTGGTTTGTCTTTCTCACCAATGAGGGCCCCACTGAACTCCGATGCCATGATGTTAAAAATTTCACGGTCTGCACGAAGGATCTGGGCAAGGCTGAGGGCTGATCCTGAATGAGCAGATTCATGCAACAAGGATCCCATCAGTTTATCAAGCCAAATTTGACAAGGCTGCCATGAAAGTAAGTTCACCAGCTCAAATGCTAAGTGCCGACGTTGAAGCGCGAAAAACAATCTGAGCTCAGTTGACGTGTCTACGTCCAACAACCCACTCGACGAGGACGACCTGAGTGATCCTTGTTCGATGGTGATGATCTGTTTGGCCTTCTGTTTCGACTCGGCTTGGATCTCCATCTCACGGGAGTGACACTTTGATGGTCCAATGTATGTCAATGCTCCAGTCTCAACTATGTGGAAGGCAAGGTCAATCAAGCTGTGTGCAGGTTGTTGATCAGATTTGTGCAAAAGTCCAGTGATCCTACGTTTCTGCGCTTCGAGTCTTGTCTGTTTCTCGATGAATGGCAGTTTCTTCAAAGGCTCCGACGAGTCAGTGTTGATGGCATTCGTCTTCATGTCGTTGAGAAGATAGGTGCAAGACTCAAAATGAAGCCTTCTGATTGTTGCCACGTCCCCCAATGTGGGTGTTCCATAAATTGTATCAGCAAGTTTAGTGATCTCTGCATCACTCACCTGATTTTGGGGGGATCCAACAGCAAAAGCGAAAGTGGAGAATGTGCTCAGATTCTGCGCCTCTGCCTTCTCAGCCAATCCCACTTGTAATTGTTCGCAGCGCTTCTTGAAAGCGCTCTCAGAATCCACAAGTGCCATGGTGCAAAACGCGTGTGGGCGAAAGCACTGCAATGAAGATGCATTGAAGGAAACTCATCATTGGTTTGTCCTAAATTTTCACTATGCAAAAAAAATTGACATGTCGGCATGACCCTAAAATTTTGGAAAGAATCAAGTGCAGTCCATGAACAACATGAATTGTGTCGACAAACTGTCCATAAGTGCCCGACAAAGACGGGGCTGTTGAACCGCAAGTTGCACAATGTACGCAACTTACGTGGCGTGTCTACGGCTGACACGAATCCACTGACATGCAGGCAAAACCGCCTACTGGGAAGGAATGTTTTGTTTTCTTCCTTGTGACCAACAGGTTTTTGGTCAAACACAGCCATACAGGCCATTGAAAAATTAAGAAAACTACTGAGTATACAACTCAACAAAAAGGACAACGACTCCAGAAAGATTTCTGTCGGTCCACTCCTTTTTTATACCACACAGGCTGGTCACTCAGTTACGGCTGCACAAGCCTTGATCCCAGCTTCGTTTTGGCAGCTTTCCAGCACAAGGAACAGCATGGGGAATCCCACCTGAGTTGTTGAGGCGGTCTGTGTGCCTCACCTTTCTGCCGGCCACACATGAAGACCTTTTGATAGCCTTCCGCCAGCAGGTGCAGCATTTTCGACTTCGAGTGCTGGACAAGCGATGTTCCTGCAGGCGCTGATGGACATCTGACCAGTCTGGCCACCCTGCCTTTGTCACTGGCCCCTTCGTCCAACGATGAGTCTGTATCGCTGTCGGCTGAGCTTGTGGAGTCTGAATCCACTGTCTGTGGTGCAGCATCCGTCATTGCCCCCGCCTCGAATGACTCAGGGTTGACCTCGGCCACAACCTGATTTGTGTTCTCCTGCAACTCGACTTTGCAAGCATTTGCAAAACGGCCAACCCATCACGACTATAAGTCAAGACACTCTTCAGGTGGCTCACATGCTCACCAAGGATTTCCCTTGTTGCAATCCCACAACCAAACTTGGCCAGGTAGGAAAGAAGGGTACTCTTACAAGAGTGGGAAGTGATCTTGCGCCCAACGAGGCTAATGCCGTGACGCTCCAACAACATCCTGACCCATCTCCCCATTTCATCAGAGGAGATTGGTCTCTGCGTTGCTTCTCCATCAGGTCCAGGAGCTGGCATGACAGGGTAGCCGGCTAGAATGTCTGCACCAACCTGAGCCCTGACAACAATCCATTGTCGTGCCCAGTTTTCGTCGGAAATCCCAACAGCCACTGCAACTGCGGGGAGGAAGCCTTCCATCCATGCATTTGCACGCTTTGTCTTATGTTCACGCACTGTGAACTCAAGAAAATGTGGCTCCCAGCAATCAGGATCAGCCTCCATCTTCTCTGCATGCTGCAAGTCGCTCCAACGGCTTCGGCTGTATACAGCACACAGTGTCGCTCCAGCCATAACCCTGTCCCAGATGTCCTGCGACTCATTTTCCAAAATGCTGTGCAACACTCTGAGCTCCTTTACTGCAAAAGGGGAAGCTTGGCGACGAGGACCAGCAACATCAAACTTGGAAGCGCCTATCACGCGTTTGGATAAGAGTTCGGTCCCAAGCTGTGCCACTCCCAGAACATGCTCTGTGAACCTCAAGGCTTCCACAACAGCCTGTAGTCTGCTGGGTGGGCTACCTGTGTCCCTTTCTATGCAGAAAAGTTTGTAAAGTGCAGCCTCATCACCTGGGAAAAGCAACCCTTGGTCGTCAAGGAAGTTCACATATCGCTGCAAGGAGTTGGCTCTTTTGATCAACGTCAGAGGAGACTTTGTCGCAAAAATATCACGCAGCACTCTCAACTGATCTGAGACTTCAGCCAACAGTGATATCTGGTCTTTGACAGCTATCCCCAAAGGAAAACGCAGCACCAAGTCATACCACCGTTTGATAGCTGTGTCCAGTTTTGCATCATGGGTTTCTTTCCATGACATGGCATCCACTGACGAAACAACCTGCTTCCAGTGTGCTGCACCTGTGGTGGTCCTCAACTTCTTGCAGGGTCCTTCTGAAACTGACTCAACAAGCTCCGGACACGGTGCAAAAGGAGGCCTGGCAAAAATGGCCTGAACTGAGTCTGCAGAGTTCAACTGGTTGCCAAAAATATGTTTCCAAAGGCCCTTTTCCCAAGGCAGCACAACATCTGAACGTTTCTCAAGGTTAAGCCATTGCTTCTCCAAATCGACTTCTGAGGGCAGCTCGACATTGTCCAAAATGACTGGGCATTCCTCTGACCTGTCAGGAGCTGCAATGGTGCCTCGTGCAAAATCAGACTGTAGCTGCAAAACTGAGCCATCCCCGAACAAGTGTTTTGTGGCTTCTGAAAATTCTGAATCGCTGTCCATCACTGCAGTGACAACTCAGCAAGGTCTGTGTAGCAATCTGTTACTTCAACTGCAAATGCAAAACAAGCGGTCCTAAGATTGCCCCTGTCTGTGATGTCCAAGTAACAGAAGGCGATCAGATTGGATCTAACACTGCCAAGACTGAAGACAATTGTCAACTGCCAAATATTGGAATTTTCCCAGCGTTGAAAGTCAGCTTCTGAGACCACATCCACTGGAGTCCAGAACACAGGGTAGGAGTCACTCATGCAAGTAAAATCCACAACGTGAAAAGAATGCCGATCAAAAAAGCGCAACTGACAGCACCACACCAATGAATCACCTGTGATGAGTTCTTCACCGGGCCGCCAAGCACTAACGGATTGGCAAAAGCTATGCGCCCCCTACGACGCATAAACAAAAATGAATGATTCCCTGTGCTTTGGAGTGGGTATTTTGGCCCACTTGAACGGAAGGCGAGAGATAAAGATTTGATCTCGTGTGCCAATGGAAAAGAACCGTGTTTGTTTGTATACCTCGTCAGGTGTTTGACAAAACAGGACAACAAACAGATTTCACAACAACGTATCAGAAGTTGATTTGTTTTGACAAGAGACATTTCTTCTAATATAGAATAGTCTTGTGACTACAGTTCACAAGGGGAAGATTGTACATACAGTACAATAAAACAACTGTTCAACCACAGTCAAGGTTTCAAGAACCCTTAGATCAAACCCAGCACCGCAGTAGATCCACATGTTTTGCATTAACAATGCAAAACACCATTGACCCCAAGAATAACGCATCATCTTTGTACCAAAGAGGACGTGCAGGGAAGCCTTGCAACTCTTCTAGTTCCACCAAGGTCATGTATCGCTTCATTGGTAGCAACATGTGGCCTCCCAACTTGCAGCGGCTTCGAGTCAACGTGGGCGATACTTCTGGGAGAGCCTTGCACTTGCGAGTTGGGCCGCTACCAACGTCAGCTACCCACACAGCATCCTGCCACTGCAATGGGTTTGGGTTGCAACAACAACAACAACAACAACAACAACAGACAAGCACATAAGGCAACAAAAAAATGCGTGGTAAGATAGTGACAAACTGAGCATGACAAGAAGATAGTATTATTAGCAAATCATTAGCTGGCAAACCTAAATAGATTCATGCATATTCCCGCCTTGGCACGGGAGCATTTGAGAATGGACGTCTCAATCTGCTTTGCTGCTGTCACCAGATGCTTCTGAACCCTTGCGTTCCCAGCTTCTGTGTTCTCTCTGTTGTTTTTCAAATCCGAACTATCCACATTTTGAAGCAAACTAGACAAACTTCTGCACGGAATTCGTCCTGGCCAGGTAAACTCCAGTGCCTGACGCTTTTTCTGCCATCCCACAATGTAAGTCCTGCTACGTCTTTGAGGCAAGCCCCCTTCCACGGTCGTCTGGAGAACCTGCTGAGGACTGCTCCGGATGCATCATCGTCAAAAACAATTATCATTCGTTTCAAATTTAAATCCCAAGAAATCGCAGTGAAAAAAATTATACGGGAATCGCAAGTGACAAAAACCGAAGGCCTTCCGTCGAACCTCATACAATGGCTTCCCGCGGTCATCTTTCCCATCCCGCAAGAAGGCCAGGATAAACTTGAAGATGGGCCGATTTTTTTTGTGACTTGCGAGAGGCTTCACGTTTTCCAGCGCGAAGCTGGAAGGCTTCGTGGTCTCTATTGTTTGGAGAACCCTAAGTAAAACGATCCCGCGCCCATCTTGTAGACCGCGCTGAAGACCAGCCGCGCTGTACGGCTGACAAGGTGGCCTTGCGGTGTAAATGTCCACGGACTCCAAGGAGCCATAGTCTCTCACCATGACGTCAGAATCAATTCTGGGAAATTCGTCGCAAGCAGTGTAGTAAGCGCCTCCATGTTCGAACTGAGACTGAAGCATCTGTCTAGTTTTGGCATCCTTCTCGGTCAAGAACTTTGCCACTAGTCGCAGCCCAGCCATCATCAACGAAGCCGTCAATGTGTCCAAGCCACTGCAATCAGAACCAGTCGTGATTGGAGTAGCGTCTTGGGATTTGCTGCAAAAAATCCTTGGGTTCAACTCTCCTTTTCCACAGCGAGTTGCTGCGACTTTCTTCTTCTTGGCCAAGGCCTTCCGCCCCCGATTGCCTGTCTTCACTGACACGATACTGCCTTTCTGCGGCTTCTTCAAATAAAATCGTTCACCCTGGGCAAGGGCTTCATCATGGAAGACAAATTCGTCCATGTTGACAACGTCAGCCTGTGGCAAGCCACCTAATGGCAAAGGACCAGCGTAGGCTGCGGTTGCCACTGCTCTGATGTCTTCTGAAAGAGTTACATGATAATGTTTGAAATTCACAGATGCTTTGCGCATGCATTGTGAAAAATAGCTACATAAAATTTACTTCGCGTGATCCTCAGACATTCGACATAGTCTGTTTCTGACATTATCAGCATTTATATTTATTTTTTTTATATCGTCTATCTGACTATACTGCGTCTATCTGGCATTCCTTGTGTCAAGCCCGCGGGTGCCAAAACGTCTTTCTTGCGCCATTATTTAAAACACGGGTCCGTATAATAAGCTTCTAGGGCGAGATGGCTCCACTGGCCTCTGCTGCGAGATCCGAATTCGCTGGTGCGCAGTGCCAAAATGGCATCGGGCTGGCAGAAGGAGGAAGACTCCGATGGCGAAACAGAGGAGCAGGAAAAGCGAACGATCATTTCATAAATTAGATCTCATCCGCCGACGCTGCGCAGGCGATTTGAAATGACGCAAATTCAAAGTCTGCAGGTTTATGGACTGCCTCGTGACATGTTTTTCTGCAGAGCCGCGCTGTGCATCAAAATCGGCAGCTTTGAGCAGGGCAAGCCACAAAACTCTAGAAACGGGGCTGGGCAGGCATCCCTCCAAAAGTCTGAGAAGCTGTTAATTAATTTAATCGCAAGCACCATACGCGAGAACAAAACTTCAAAAATTGTTTTAAATAATAATATCTGCAGACAGTCAATTCGTGCATGACATCATGGATGTGGCAAGCCACCAAAAGTAGATGGCGCTCATCACTGCCGGCGGGGCTACTCTCAGTCCTGCCGCTCCGCTTCTTCTGTGTCTGGGAAACACAGAGGGCACCTGCAAGAATGAAAGCTGCATTTTAGACAACGCATTGAATGACGGAAACAAAAGCAGCCACTCTCAAGTCAGATTTTTGTCTTGCCTTCTCCTGTGCCAAATTTCGTCGGCAGGGTTACGCATTAGTAGGTGCAACTGGGCGAAGAATGGTACGAGATCCCATCTCGCGTAACCCATAAGTGCGTTGGCGGCACCTGCGGGCGGCTGGTCTTCACCAGAAAGCCCCAGCACCCTCTGCCACAGCATTCTCCCAAAAAGGAAAGCATTGTTGGGGCAAGCCAGCAAAACGATGCCAGGCTTGAGGCAAGGCTGCGATCATGAGGCGCTTACACAGCCGATAGCCGATTTGCCAGTTCAAGGATTTGGGTTTGAGCTTGCTTTCTTGAAAGCATTGCAAATGTAGTTTTCAAAATTGTGGCTGTCAATTTACGCTTAATTATAGAAATTATATATTTACATATACTATTTATTTTATATATATATATATACAAAAACTATTTATTATATATATTACATTGCACAAATCAACGTAGAAAATCAGAGAAAAGGATGTAGCTATAAACATGAAGCGTCATTAAGTTATGTGTGCATGTATTCTGCTTGCAGTTTTTTCGTGGCATAAAATCATGCCATTCCTTTGAATTCCGCTTTGTTTTTTTTTGTGTAAGAGATTGCTTTTGGTGCTCTTGGAAGGTTTTCAAAGCAACAAAGAAGCAAATCGCACAAAAAACTTTAAAAACAGGCGGTCTCCATTTTCCAGTATAAGCAGTTAAAAACGAATTTGTACACGGACCCAGAAGGCCCAGTAGCGCGGGCAAATCACAACGAACCAAAACAAAAAACACAAACAAAAACGAAAAGACGACCCGCAAATCCCCCAGCCAGATTTGCGTTTCGTCAGTGCGAAAAACAGCAAACCAGACACAAAAAAGGGGCCGGAGCCCAAACAACACCCACCAACAAGATTTGCCAAAGGACACAGTGGTTTGACCACTGTATCTGCCTCAAAAACATGCGAAAATGAATTAAGTACCACGACATTCAAGCAGACACGAAGGCCTAGCCCGGAAACATATCCACTTAAGCGTAGATGCGCCAAAGTGTGCATAAGGCGGGGCAGCGAATTGTGCCTCTCTCAGCGTCCTCTCAGATCAGCTTGTCCAGAAGGCCTTCCATGGGCTGAATCGTTACCATAGATTGTCCGCGAGCAAAGAAGTCGTGGTGGTCACTGTGCCGGGTGCCCCCCAGAGGGGAGGGCGGACATTAGTGGCGCACAGGAAGCTTCGCAAGCCAGCGAGAAGCTTCCATATTGCCATTGCAAAGGTACAGGGGAGGCCCCAACTCCGTCTCCAAAAATCATATCAGTTTCAGGTGCTAAAAACGAACCCAAAAGAAGCCTCTTTTCCTTGCTTGTCTTCGTGATGACAACCTTTCCCTTTCTAATATGCTGATGAAAGAATCCAAAGACTGCAAGCGAGGCGCTTCGAGGCTCGGCGAGGCCTGGCCGAGGCCACGCCTCGGACGCAAAACCTATTGGCACGAGGACAAAGCGAGGCTCACGGGGACTCGAAACTATATAATACTATTGTTGAAGTCCCAACAAAGCTGAACTTGAAGCAGTTGGCAACTGTGCTGCCTCGCTAGAATTTTAGGCCGCAGCTGGCGCAAAGAGACGGCCTCAACGCAAGCCTCGAGGCCTCAAGGATATGGAAATTGCAGCCAAACAAAAAGTTTAGAAGATGAAGTATAGTTGGAGGCAGGCCTCAATGCAAGTCTCGAGCTCCAGCGTCGCGAGACCATGGGAATTAGAACAAAACACTTCGGGGCAAGCTTCGAGGCAGGCCTCGAGGCAGGCCTCGAGGGCCTCAAGGCTATGGAAATTGGAGAAAACAATGTGACAAAGAAGGTCCCTGTTTTGGTCCTCAAAACGTACGAAAAAGCGCGGGCGCGCAAAAATGGGCCTCCCCAGTTCAAGATTCCAGCCGCAGCTGCTGCTGATCAAATCAGCTTCAACTTGAAATAAACGCTTCAACAAATTTGCGACAATGAAGGTGCCAAAAAAGGGACCAAAACTGGACCCTCCAGGGGGGACCACTTTTGATTTCAAGGGGTCCACTTTTTGACCCCTTTTGGAAACACGTTTCCTTTGCAAGGGGGTCCAAAACTGGACCCTCAACAGGTTGAATCCGGTGCCTTCTTGGAGGTCCGGTTTTAAGCCCACACAAGCACCTTCTTCAGCTGAGCTGTTCCAATGTAGAAACGCATCAACGTCACACAAAATAACCAGCAAGTTGGCAATAAGGGCCTCGAACAGGGGAGGCCCCAACTCCGTCTCCAAAAATCATATCAGTTTCAGGTGCTAAAAACGAACCCAAAAGAAGCCTCTTTTCCTTGCTTGTCTTCGTGATGACAACCTTTCCCTTTCTAATATGCTGAGGAAAGAATCCAAAGACTGCAAGCGAGGCGCTTCGAGGCTCGGCGAGGCCTGGCCGAGGCCACGCCTCGGACGCAAAACCTATTGGCACGAGGACAAAGCGAGGCTCACGGGGACTCGAAACTATATAATACTATTGTTGAAGTCCCAGCAAAGCTGAACTTGAAGCAGTTGGCAACTGTGCTGCCTCGCTAGAATTTTAGGCCGCAGCTGGCGCAAAGAGACGGCCTCAACGCAAGCCTCGAGGCCTCAAGGATATGGAAATTGCAGCCAAACAAAAAGTTTAGAAGATGAAGTATAGTTGGAGGCAGGCCTCAATGCAAGTCTCGAGCTCCAGCGTCGCGAGACCATGGGAATTAGAACAAAACACTTCGGGGTAAGCTTCGAGGCAGGCCTCGAGGGCCTCAAGGCATGGAAATTGGAGAAAACAATGTGACAAAGAAGGTCCCTGTTTTGGTCCTCAAACGTACGAAAAAGCGGGCGCGCAAAAATGGGCCTCCCCAGTAGTGCAGGGCCCTAATTTCATGGGGGAAATGTAAAACTGCCAAATTGCTTGAGCTCCGCCAGTGTACTCCTCAGCAGCAGACTGCACTCGAACGGTGAAAAGCGTGCTCAAAACGGGCACCAATCGTGCAGGGAGCATGAAGCCAAAGAGACAATGACTCCACGTTCAGACCGCAAAAATCGAAAAAGCCGAATAGAGCCATGACCGTGTACAGGAGTTTTGCCATATCAGTGTTACTATCACAGAACAAACCATGAACCCCTAAATAGGGCCTATATTTCGATTCCAAAAATGGCCCCATCACGGCAAAGACAATGTAGCCAATCGGAAATAGTGAAGGATATTCTCGAAGAGCATGCAAAGGTCGGTGGAGCCTTCACAGGATGGCTGCAGGCGAAATGTTTCATTCCAGCTCCTCATTACAATGATAACATCTGGGCCAGTCCAAGTCCCCTGCAACCCCTGCAGTCAGCGTTAAAGTGACAAAAGCAAGGTGGGCCAGAGAACCCAAAAGCATGACGGCACACAGCACGCCTTTTAATCTTGTGGTGTGGGCAGCTGTGCTCTGCACGAAATCGACGTAAGATCTGTACTGAAGCATCGTGCGCACTGACGGTATCAGGGGCCACAATTCACCACAGCATGCTGTGTCAGCTACGTCTACATTCTTCTATTCGCTTTTTCTGCTAATGTAATTAATTCCGTCCCATCTTATCTATTTCTGCGTTCTCATTTCGTTTGCTAGAGACCCCTAGAAAAATGTGACCACACCCAATCCCCTGCGACCCCTGCGGTCAATGTTGAAATTTGTCAATGTTTGAATACCGATCGAACAGACATCAATAGACATGAAAGGCTTTCATTCTGGGAGGTCTCCTCGATAGACATCAAACATTTATTCTGAAAAGTCCGCGGCATGTCAACATTGACTGCAGGGGTTCAAGGGGATCCCCTGCGGCTTTCTTTCAACTAAGCAGCTGCACCTGCCAACAAACAGTACTGGGCCTTCCACAAACGCGCGTCGTACTACGCAATCATGAAGAGACATGCAAACTCAGATGTATAGACATATATATATATATATTCGCCGCGCTAATCGTCGGGTTACGCCACGTCGAGAAATAAAATCAAATCAGTCTCAAACAACAGTCCACCACAAATGAAACCATCGAC